AGTAGTTTGAGAAACGTAGAGTAAAAAATTTAACTTCAGGCCGGGCACGGTGGTTCGTGCCTATAATCCTAGCACTCTGGGAGGCCGAGGCGGGAGGATCGCTCCAGGTTAGGAGTTCGAAACCAGCCTGAGCAAGAGCAAGACACCCTGTCTACTGAAAATAGAAAAAAGCTGGGGGCAGTGGCTCATACCTGTAATCCTAGCACTTCAGGAGGCCGAGGCAGGAGGATTGCTTGAGCTCAGGAGTTGGAGACCAGCCTGAGCAAGAACAAGACCTCATCTGTACTAAAAAACAGAAAAAAAATTAGCCAAACAACTAAAAATGGAAAAAATTAACCAGGCATGGTAGTGCATGCTTATAGTCCCAGCTACTCGGGAGGCTGAGGCAGGAGGATCGCTTGAGCCCAGGAGTTGGAGGTTGCTGTGAGCGAGGCTGACACCACGGCACTCACTCTAGCCTGGGCAACAAAGCGAGACTCTGTCTCAAAAAAAAAAAAAAAAAAATTAACTTCAAATATACTCTTAGATGTATGCGGGTTAGAATTCTAACACTGAACATGTTTGTTAGACAAATTGATCCGACTTTTTCCTAAGGCATCAAGGAAGAAAAGCCCTTTAGGGCTGGAGTGAGAACAGTAGAGGCAACCGAAATGGGGAAAAGGGTATTACAGGTGTTATTTGCTTTACAAGTTTACTCACGAGGACAAAAACAGACTGGTGACATAAGCATTTGAGGTCCCAGGCCTAGTTTTGGTAGGTTTCCTTTTAAAAAATGTGCAGAAATGTGTTTCATCGTGTCTGTCTTTGAGAACAGAGAGTGTGTGTTGATATCCACAACTTGTTGTATTTTCATTCCTCTCCAAGTAACTCAAGTTCGTATTTTAAAACCCAAATTCTTGAATTTCATGTCTAAGCCACAATCTGCATCTTAAAGATGGTTCCAGATCCTCTCTGCTCGTTTGTTAATTTTTTTGAACCTCTCTGTGAAATAGGATCTAGGTAATTTCCTAAATTTTTTCCAGCTCTAAAATTGTAACATCATTTTCCCTCCTTGTAACATGGATGTTTTTTTTTTGTTTTTTTTTTTTCACTTTTCCAGAAAAGTGGGAGATAGATCCGTCTGAGCTGGCTTTTGTGAAGGAGATTGGAAGTGGCCAGTTTGGGCTGGTCCATTTGGGTGAGTGGCGAGCGCA